TCATCAGTGTCTTATAATTTTCTGCATACAGGTCTTTTGTCTCCCTAGGTAGGTTTATTCCTAGGTATTTTATTCTTTTTGTGGCAGTAGTCAATGGGATTGCTTCCTTAATTTCTCTTTCAGATTTTTCATCATTAGTGTATAGGAATGCAAGAGATTTCTGTGCATTTATTTTGTATCCTGCAACTTTACCAAATTCATTGATTAGCTCTAGTAGTTTTCTGGTGGCATATTTACGATTCTCTGTGTATAGTATCATGTCATCTGCAAACAGTGACAGTTTTACTTCTTCTTTTCCAATTTGTATTCCTTTTATTTCTTTTTCTTCTCTGATTGCCATGACTAGGACTTCCAAAACTATGTTGAGTAATAGTGGTGAGAGTAGACATCCTTGTCTCGTTCCCAATCTTAGAGGAATTGCTTTCAGTTTTTCCACCATTAATAATGATGTTTCCTGTAGGTTTGTCATATATGGCCTTTATTATGTTGAGGTAGGTTCCCTGTATGCCCACTTTCTGGAGAGTTTTTATCATAAATGGGTGTTGAATTTTGTCAAAAGCTTTTTCTGCATCTGTTGAGATGATCGTATGGTTTTTCTTGCCTCAATTTGTTAATATGGTGTATCACATTGATCGATTTGCGTATACTGAAGAATCCTTGCATCCCTGGGATAAATCCCACTTGATCATGGTGTATGATCCTTTTAATGTGCTGTTGGATTCTGTTTGCTAGTATATTGTTGAGGATTTTTGCATCTATATTCATCCGTGATATTCGTCTGTAATTTTCTTCTTTTGTAGTATCTTTGTCTGGTTTTGGTATCAGGGTGATGGTGGCCTCATAGAATGAGTTTGGGAGTGTTCCTTCCTCTGCAATTTTTTGGAAGAGTTTGAGAAGGATGGGTGTTAGCTCTTCTCTAAATGTTTGATAGAATTCACCTGTGAAGCCATCTGGTCCTGGACTTTTGTTTGTTGGAAGATTTTAAATCACAGTTTCAATTTCATTACTTGTGATTGGTCTGTTCATATTTTCTGTTTCCTCCTGGTTCAGTCTTGGAAGTTATACCTTTCTAAGAATTGGTGCATTTCTTCCAGGTTGTCTATTTTATTGGCATAGAGTTGCTTGTAGTAGTCTCTTAGGATGCTTTGTATTTCTGCTGTGTCTGTTGTAACTTCTCCTTTTTCATTTCTAATTTTATTGATTTGAGTCCTCTCCCTCTTTTTCTTCCTGAGTCTGGCTAATGGTTTATCAATTTTGTTTATCTTCTCAAAGAACCAGCCTTTAATTTTATTGATCTTTGCTATTGTTTTCTTTGTTTCGATTTCATTTATTTCTGCTCTGATCTTTATGATTTCTTTCCATCTGCTAACTTAGGGTTTTGTTTCTTCTTCTTTCTCTAGTTCCTTTAGGTGTAAGTTTAGATTGTGTATTTGATATTTTTCTTGTTTCTTGAGGTAGGCTTGTATAGCTATAAACTTCCCTCTTAAGACTGCTTTTGCTGCATCCCATAGGTTTTGGATCATCGTGTTTACATTGTCATTTGTCTCTAGGTATTTTTTGATTTCCTCTTTGAGTTCTTCAGTATCCCTTGGTTATTTAGTAACGAATTGTTTAGCCTCCATGTGTTTGTGGTTTTTACATTTTTTTCCCCTGTAATTGATTTCTAATCTCATAGCATTGTGGTCAGAAAAGATGCTTGATATGATTTCAGTTTTCTTAAATTTACTGAGGCTTGATTTGTGACCCAAGATGGGATCTGTCCTGGAGCATGTTTCATGCACACTTGAGAAGAAGGTATAATCTGCTGTTTTGGGATGGAATGTCCTATAAATATCAATTAAATCTATCTGGTCTGTTGTGTCATTTAAAGATTCTGTTTCCTTATTTAATTTCATTTTGGATGATCTGTCCATTGGTGTAAGTGAGGTGTTAAAGTCACCCACTATTATTGTGTTACTGTCGATTTCCTCTTTTATAGCTGTTAGCAGTTGCCTTATGTATGAGGTGCTCCTATGTTGGATGCATATATATTTATAATTGTTGTATCTTCTTCTTGGATTGATCCATTGATCATTATGTAGTGTCCTTCCTTGTCTCTTGTAACATTCTTTGTTTTAAAGTCTATTTTATCTGATATGAGTATTGCTCCAGCTTTTTTTTTTGATTTCCATTTGCATGGAATATCTTTTTCCATCCCCTCACTTTCAGTCTGTATGTGTCCCTAGGTCTGAAGTGGGTCTCTTGTAGACAGCATATATATGGGTCTTGTTTTTGTATCCATTCAGCAAACCTGTGTCTTTTGGTTGGAACATTTACTCCATAAGGTAATTATCAATATGTATGTTCCTATGACCATTTTCTTAATTGTTTTGGGTTTGTCTTTTTAGGTCCTTTTCTTCTCTTGTGTTTCCCACTTAGAGAAGTTCCTTTAGCATTTGTTGTAGAGCTGGTTTGGTGGTGCTGAATTCTCTTAGCTTTTGCTTGTCTGTAAAGCTTTTGATTTCTCCATCGAATCTGAATGAGATCCTTGCCGGGTAGAGTAATCTTGGTTGTAGGTTCTTCCCTTTCATCACTTTAAGTATATCATGCCACTCTCTTCTGGCTTGTAGAGTTTCTGCTGAGAAATCAGCTGTTAACCTTATGGGAGTTCCCTTGTATGTTATTTGTCATTTTTCCCTTGCTGCTTTCAGTAATTTTTCTTTGTCTTTAATTTTTGCCGGTTTGATTACTATGTGTCTCGGCGTGTTTCTCCTTGGGTTTATCCTGTATGGGACTCTCTGTGCTTCCTGGACTTGGGTGGCTATTTCCTTTCCCATGTTAGGGAATTTTTTGACTATAATCTCTTGAAATATTTTCTCTGGTCCTTTGTGTCTCTCTTCTCCTCTGGGACCCCTATAATATGAATGTTGTCATGTTTAATGTCCTTGAGGTCTCTTAGGCTTTCTTCATTTCTTTTCATTCTATTTTCTTCATTCTGTTCCACAGCTGTGAATTCCACCATTCTGTCTTCCAGGTCACTTATCCATTCTTCTGCCTCAGTTATTCTGCTATTGATTCCTTCTAGTGTAGTTTTCATTTCAGTTATTGTATTGTTCATCTCTGTTTGTTTGTTCTTTAATTCTTGTAGATGTTTGTTAAACATTTCTTGCATCTTCTCGATCTTTGCCTCCATTCTTTTTCCAAGGTCCTGGGTCATCTTCACTATCATTATTCTGAATTCTTTTTCTGGCAGGTTGCCTATATACACTTCAGTTAGTTGTTTTTCTGGGGTTTTATCTTGTTCCTTCATCTGGTACATAGCTGTCTGCCTTTTCATCTTGTCTATCTTTCTGTGAATGTGATTTTTGTTCCACAGGCTGCAGGATTGTAGTTCTTCTTACTTCTGCTATCTGCCCTCTGGTGGATGATGCTCTCTAAGAGGCTTGATGGGAGGGACTGGTGGAAGGTAGAGCTGGCTGTTGCTCTGGTGGGCAGAGCTCAGTAAAACTTTAATCCACTTGACTGTTGATCAGTGGGGCTGGGTTCCCTCTCTGTTGGTTGTTTGGCCTGAGGCAAGCCAACACTGGAGCCTACCTGGGCTCTTTGGTGGGGCTAATGACAGACTCTGGGAGAGCTCATGCCAAGGATTACTTCCCAGAACTTCTGCTGTCAGTGTCCTTGTCCCCACAGTGAGCCACAGCCACCCCCTTCCACCTCTGCAGGGGACCCCCCAACAATAGCGGTAGGTCTGGTTCAGTCTCCTATGGGGTCACTGCTCCTTCCCCTGGGTCCTGATGTGCACACTACTTTGTGTGTTCTCTCCAAAAGTGGAGTCTTAGTTTCACCCAGTCCTGTTGAAGTCCTGCAGTCAATTCCCACTAGGCTTCAAAGTCTGATTCTCTAGGAATTCGTCCTCCTGTTGCCAGACCCCCAGGTTGGGACGCCTGACGTTGTGCTCAGAACCTTCACTCCAGTGGGTGGACTTCTGTGGTATAAGTGTTCTCCAGTCTGTGAGTCACCCACCCACCAGTTATGGGATTTGACTTTACTGTGATTGTGCCCCTCCTACCGTCTCATTGTGGCTTCTCCTTTGTCTTTGGATGTGGGGTATCTTTTTTGGTGAGTTCCAGTGTCTTCCTGTCGATGATTGTTCAGCAGCTAGTTGTGATTCTGGTGTTCTTGCAAGAGGGAGTGAGAGCACATCCTTCTACTTCGCCATCTTGGTTCCTCCCTTTTGTGGGGTTTTATCTTGATCCTTTTTTGTCTTGTTTCATTTCATTTCACTGAATTCCTTGTTGAATCAAATAGCATGATTGATAGAAATGAATTTTAGTTTAAGGTTAAGAGTTTATTCAGACATAATATCACATGTAATCATAATACATTAATTGAATGATTAGATAAAACTGAGTGGAGAATTGGATACTTTCTGAATTGAGTAAAGCAGATTAGATGGTGTGAGCCTGTGTAGTATTTCAAAACCAGGAAACAGTAGTAGTCTTTGGGTATTAGCAGCCTTGCTCAGATTACCAGTGATCCTTGATGGTGTTTGAATTCTGAGAGTGGTAACAACTTGTTGATATGATTTGACCTCCTGTCACTGATCTATTCTGAGAGATTAATAGATTAGTAATAGTGACAGACTGTTTTTTTTTTAAACCTGATTTGCTAATCTTAGCATTTAGCAACTCTAACAAACAGGGTAGAATAATGTCATTCACCTGTCTTCTAAGGGAAACCGTGCTGAGTTGACTTCAGGTTATGGAACAAACAGTTGTGTGTGTCAAAGGCCAGTGCTTTAAAATATCTTTATACAGTGATCTTTAATTTTAATGATATGCAAATGTAATTTTTACTTTACTGTGTACTAGAGGTTTAAGTGAACCTGATCATAAGGCAAAGACTCAGATTTCTCAATTTCATAGCTGCCACCTTCCCCCCATCTCACTTTAATAGTTTGAAATGAAGTTTTAGAATAGTTTTAGTAAAAAGACAACTTGTTTTTTTTTTTTTTCTTTCAGATAAACTAAAGATTGTTCATCAAGCACATAAATCAAAGGTATGTTTTGTATGTACAGTATCTGGCACACACATAACAAGTAATCAATTTTGGTTGACTTAGTGAATAAATGAATGAACACATGTACTTCTAAAATATTTTCCATTATAACAGCATTTTTAATTTTGTAGCTACCCTTTCTATAGCCTTACTTTTCCATTAAAGGAAAAAAAACAAAGACCTCTAAGTCATATTCCTGTTAGTAGATCCTTTAAAAGAAAGTGTTAATTTAAAAAAAGCAATGTTATATATCAAGCAAATGTGTAACATAAAATAAGCATAAAACGTGGTAAAATTAATTCAGGTCACATATAAAGGAAGTCAAGTATTATCTGTCAGTCCAATTTCTTTCATTTTCTTATTTCTGTACCAGAAGAAGAGAGCCAAAAGCAGATGAAAATAACATGTTTTTTTCTGATTTGACTCTTCCGGTGTATAAGAGAAGGCCCCGGACTGTGGCTCTTGGGAGCAGACCTATTAGTTCCACAGAGGACGTGGCCTTCCCCAAAAGAGGACTGATTAGTTATGTGTTTATAGTATATTTCCGTTTCTGTTTTCTTACCTTTTTAGAGTGATGTCTTTATGTTTGCTTCTCATACAGATAGACCAGAGTGATCTTTTTTCTTGAATCTCAGTGACCTTCTGTAGACTTCTCATTAAAGTAATAACCTTCTCTATTATACAGACTACTCAAGGACAAGGGACTGTATCTTATTCTTCATATCTCCAATACGTAGCACAATGCCTCATTCATAGGAGTGTTTCCATGACAATTTTTGAAGGAAGTATTTTATGAATTCATTTAATTTCATTCACTTCTCTAGTCATAGATGCCCTCCATAAACTCAATCAGCTTTGAAATAAACATATAACAAAAGATCATAAAGAAGTTGGCTTGAGGGTACGTCTGTTGACTATGAATTAGTAACTCAAAAACATTTTTTTTCTGATGGCTTAAAACAAAACATTTTCTGATGGCTTAAAACAAAACATTTATTCTCTTATAGTTCTGGAGGTCAGAAATCTGAAATCAGTTTCCCTGGGCTAAAATCAAACTGGGTCTTTCCAGTAACTTTATTTTTTTATACCAAGGATTATATATACAAATTTGACAGTATCCATTGTCAAGCACTTTAAAATTTAGTGCTTGTGTGTGTCTGGGACTGTGGTGTGGGATCTGTACTTTGTATCGATGCTAGAATTGTATCTGTCCACAGACTCCATCCACTTTCTCTTCTCCAAGCCAGGACCCTTTACAACCTTGTCCCTAAAACGTGGAGAGTAGGAAGCTTGGTCTGATTGTAGAAGGGAAATATATAAAATGAAGTAAAAATGAAACAGTATGCTCTTTGAAAAGGTTGTCATTCTCCATTTAGTGTTGCATTTTTACATCATGGAGCTCATGTTCCCTAAAAGGAATAATAAGTAAATTATTCCTTTATCCTTAATGAAGACCTAGTTCATAATATTCAAACAATCAGTATTATTACATTTTTTAAAAATCAGGAAATTTTCCTGCTATAGTTGGAAATACCTTAGAATTGTTTCTTATATTTAAAACATATGTTCCATCTTGGCATGTTAGAGTTGAAAAATTAGGGCCTATTTTTTAGTTGAACAATGTATTTACTTAAAGAAAGAGTCCCAGAACAAATTAAGTCACTTAGAATGTTTCTGGAATCTGGCTTTATAAACTTTCATCTAAACCATAATCATTCTAGTTAAGTACAGACTATATACCCCAGAGATGGTTCTTCAAATTTCCTCATTAACTTGTGTAAGGAAGAAGTCAATATATTTTTACAGATATGGTTTTAAGACTTAAAAATTTTACCCACACGTCCTCATTTGTGCCTTTTCCAACTACCAGACATTTTTCTCATTTTTCCATGTGCATTCTACTCCTAATTTGCAGGGCCTATAAGCATCACTGGCCCAGACTGTCAGTTTTCCAACCCATCTGTAATTTTAATCTCCTTCCTTAGCTAAAGGGAAAGACTTCCAAATAACTCCTGTATCTTAATGAACTTGTTCACGAAAGGCATTTTCCCCATCTCCCAAATTTTCTAGGTCCAAAGACTTTCTTAATTACAATTACCAGGTACACACAGAAATTTCTTGCCATCACAATAAAAAGGTGACTGGATACCTTCCCACCAGAGCCTCCTGTTTGGATGAGGAGCTCAGTGTTTATTGAATGAATCAATAGTTACAAATAATTACCATAATATGATTTATTTTTTATCAAGAAAATGTATTTGTGTGTCTGTGTGTATATTTTGATTATAATCAGTAGGCTACTTGTAAAGTCATAATTCCTATCAAAAAGATTTGAAAGAAAAACCATAATTTCTATCTTATATTTAGTGAGTTTGGAAACCAGATAGCTATCCTTGTTAAAAGTTTATGAAAAGAAGAAGTCACGCTCTGGAATAAACTTAGTAAGAAATATGCAAGATCTTTAAGAAGACTTTAAAATGCCAGTGAAGGCATTCAGTTGTCCAGACTCATTGAGCTGAACTTCTCTTAAGATCTATGCATTTTCTTTATGTGAAATTCTACCTCAACTTAACAAAAAAGTAAGGCATGTAAAGAGGGGTACAAGATGAGACTTAAGTGGAAATATTAGGATATTTGGATGGGAAGATGCAACAGCAAGAAGATGTCAGTTCTCTCATAGTTAATTTACAAATTTAATGCCACCCAAATAAAATTCTACAGTTGTGTGTATATATGTATCTGTATATATATATATGTGTGTGTGTGTGTGTGTACATATGTATATATATATATGAGCTAAAGAAACTGATTATAAAACTAACATGCAAAAAATAAATAATGAAGAATAGTCAGAAAAAAGAGAAATGAAAGTGACTAACCCTGGCACATATTAAGACATTTTATAAAACTATACTAGTTAAAATGGTGTGGTACTGTCACATGAACTGTTAGTTCAATGGCACAGAATTAGAAGCCCAAAAATAGACCTAATTATATATAGGAATTTAATATATATTAAATATTGCATTTCAAATTTATGGAGAAAATATGGAGGATTCAGTAAATGTTATTGGAAGAACTAGGTAGACATCTAGAAAACAGTTAAATTGAATCCATATCCTTCTCTTTATGCCAAAATAAATACTCATTGGGTTAATGACATAAATCTAAGATGAAACCCACAGGTGAGGGTAGAAATGAAATAGATTAACATGAGTGGATAATTTGTTCAGGCCACGTGATGGGTACAGGAGGGTTCATTGTACTATTCTGTATACATTGTATGTTTGAAATCTCTATGATTAAAAGTTTAAAAGATGAAATTAATTAAAATATTTGAAGTAAACATGGAATTTTAAAAGTAATCTTAGACTGAAGATACAAATATGATAGGAAAATAAAAGATTGATACATATTACTTTATTCATTAATTTATTCAACAGACATTCAGCACCTTCTTTTTTAAAAAAGACACTATAAGAAAAATGAAGGAACAACTGAAAAACTGAGAGAAAGTTTTCTAACTTATATTACAGAAAAGGCCTAATTTTAACAATTCCATTTAAAAAATTATCCTACAAGTTTCTTAAAAAATAGAAAATATTCAAATCTTTACTTAAAATAAATACAAATTAAGACTATACTTAATTTATATCTGCTGGATTGGCAGAGATCAAAAGATTTTGATAATACACTGTGTTGGTGAGGGTGTGGGAAACAGGGACTCTCAGTGATGGGTAGCATTGGTATAAATGGGTACTGCTTCTTTGGAGAGTAATTTGGCACGTATCTGTCAGAATAAAAATTGCCCTTACTCTCTGACTCAACAGTTGTACTTCTAGGAATTTATCTTACACATAAAACTTATGCAAAATAATATATGTACAAGGATATTTGTTGCAGGATTGTGTATGGTAGGAAGAGATAGGAAACAACCTGAATGTCCGTCAATAGGGACAGAGAGGGAGAGTTAATACTTTCATTGGAATATGCTGCAACCTTGATAAATTATGAGGCAGCTCTTACACTGATTTTGAATGACTTTAAGATATTTTAAGAGAAAAAAGTAAGGTGTTAGAACACAGCATATAATATGCCATTATTTGTGTGAAAAAGTTTACATGCACATCTTCACCTGCATGTACACATACAGGGACAGTCTCTGGAAGGATACATAGGAATTAGTACAAATTCTCTGCAGAAGAACTAGTTGGATGGGGCTGGGAGGAGACTACTTCTCACTCTGTCCATATGTACTTAGAAAATTTTGTACTGTATGTATTACCTATTCTAAAATAATTTTTTTAGAGTCCGCACTCCTAATGCAGGAGGCCTGGGTTCAATCCCTGGTCAGGGAACTAGATCCCACATGCTGCAAAACTGAAGACCCCGCAGCCTGCAACGAAGATGCCACGTGCAGCATGGAGCGTCCTGTGTGCTGCAACTAAGACCTGGTGCAGCCAAATAAATAAATATTTAATTAATTAATGATTTCTTTAGTGAAGTTTTTTTTCCCCCTTTTAATCTGTGTGTTTTGGAGTTTAAGCCCTTGTGCTCTCTAGTGAGTGAAGCTTCAGAGCATGGCTTCTGGGTCAGCTCTTTTGGCTGCTGAGAGGCCTTATTGTTGAGCCTCCCTCTCAGCCATATTCTAGAAAGAGAATCCGTCACTAAACAGCTGCGTTTTGGTTGACAGGTGGTACTGTGTGCCCAATTAGTGCTCACTACTAGGTGCTGTTTAGGGGCAGATAGCAATCCTCCTGTATTTATGATGTTTAACTGAATTTGTGAATAGCATTGGAGAGCAATCTCATCTATCCCCACCCCAAATCACACGAGAAATGTTAGTTAACATGACATGGGACCAAGTGTTTGTTAGCAAGGTGTTTAGATATGTGGACTTTCAGCAGAGGCAAATTTGCTTCTCTCAGAAGTCAGATTGTTTTTGTTTTTGCAAAAACAGAAATATAGATCAATGGATCAGGATAGAAAGCCCAGAGATAAACCCACGCACCTATGGTCAACTAATCTATGACAAAGGAGGCAAGGATATACAATGGAGAAAAGACAGCCGCCTCTTCAATAAGTGGTGCTGGGGAAACTGGACAGCTACAGGTAAAAGAATGAAATTAGAACACTCCCTAACACCATACACAAAAATAAACTCAAAATGGATTAGATACCTAAATGTAAGACTGGATACTATAAAACTCTTAGAGGAAAACATAGGAAGAACACTCTTTGACAGAAATCACAGCAAGCTCTTTTTTCATCCACCTCCTAGAGTAACGGAAATAAAAACAAAAATAAACAAATGGGACCAAATGAAACTTCAAAGCTTTTGCAATGCAAACTACAAACAAGATGAAAAGACAACCCTCAGAATGGAAGAAAATATTTGCAAACGCATCAACAAAGGATTAATCTCCAAAATATATAAACAGCTCATGCAGCTCAATATTAAAAAAAACAAACAACCCAATCAAATAATGGGCAGAAGACCTAAGTAGACATTTCTCCGAAGAAGACATACAGATGGGCAAGAGGCACATGAAAAGCTGCTCAGCATCACTAATTATTAGAGAAATGCAAGTCAAAACTACAATGAGGTATCACCTCACACCAGTCAGAATGGCATCTACAAACAACAAATACTGGAGAGGGTGTGGAGAAAAGGGAACCCTCTTGCACTGTTGGTGGGAATGTAAATTGATACAGCCACTATGGAGAACAGTATGGACGTTCCTTAAAAAATGAAAAATAGAATTACCGTATGACCCAGCAATCCCACTACTGGGCACATACCCTGAGAAAATCATAATTCAAAAAGACACATGCACCCCAATATTCATTGCAGCACTATTTACAATAGCCAGGTCATGGAAACAACCTAAATGCCCATCAACAGATGAATGGATAAAGAAGTTATGGTACATATATACAACGGAATATTACTCAGCCATAAAAAGGAATGAAATTGAGTCATTTGTAGAGACGTGGATGAATCTAGAGACTGTCATACAGAGTGAAGTAAGTCAGAAAGAGAAAAACAAATATCGCGTATTAACGCATATATGTGGAACCTAGAAAAATGGTACAGATGAACCAGTTTGCAAGGCAGAAGTTGAGACACAGATGTAGAGAACAAACATATGGACACCAAGCGGGGAAAGCTGTGGGGGACGGTGGTGGTGTGATGAATTGGGAGATTGGGATTGACATGTATACACTGATGTGTATAAAGCTGATGACTAATAAGAGTCTGCTGTATAAAAAAATAAATAAAATTCAAAAAAAAAAAAAGACTGGTCAAAGCTGGAACCTCAGCCCCCTGGCTGACTAGCCACATACTCTGGGCCTATATCTTAACCTCTCTGATTCCTCCTGGATTATTGTGAGGATGTGATGATGATGATGATAACAGAACAGTGACAGCTAACAGTACTCCCTGTGTGGCTGACACTGTCCTGAGGGTTTTATATGCTTCATCTCTTTTCATCCTCTCCACAGGGTAGTAAGAAGATACATTTTTTGTTTTTTAACAGATGAGCACATAAGAGCACCTCTAAGAGAGGTTTGTTTGTTGAGACCTTTAAGAGGTGGTTGTTGAGACCACGCAGCTGGACATTGGTGGAACCTGAATCTTAACCCATCTCCAAAGCTCTGTGTTCTAGCACTGTCTCCCCAGTGCTTTATGGAGTGTGTGCATTTAGCAGGTACTCACTGTGTATCTGTTCACTTCTCTCCCTACAGTGATGAGAGCAGAATGTAAATTATTGCTGTGACCCAAAGTAATAATTCAATTGTCTTTGAGGAATCTTACCAAGTATGAAACACATATAAGTACTGGTAAAATGCAGATTTTCTTTCTTTCTAGACAAATGAACTTGTGTTGAGTTTGGCAGATGATGACAGACTCCTGTTAAAAGAAGACAGCACCCTAGCTGGAATCGGTGATAAAGAGTGTGTGTGCCATGTAGAGTTGGAGGGGGCCCTGGCTTTCCTGGCCTGGCTGATTATATTTGGATAACTTAATGCAATGTAAATGGTACCCTTGGTGCTCTTTACACTACCGTATAATTATTCAGATGAGGAGGACAAGAATGATGTAGATTCAGATCATTTGACTCAGGGAGGTAGATATCTGCTCTCCAAACATTCAGAATGCAAATAGTTCTTTCCATACGGTATGCTCAGAATTCTGCAGAGGGTTATTTTAAGTGAATGACAGGTTATTACTCACTTAATAACCTACTTACTCATATCAGCATCATTTGAACAGATAGTTTAAGAGAATAGGGCCTGGTAGAACTCATGTGGAATAATGAAGTGAGATGTTGTCTGTGTAACATGCAGCATAGTTTCTGTTAGTCATCCAGATCACTCTGGGCCGACCAAGTCATGGAATTTCAAATAGGAGCCTAGTGTGTACAGTTGAAAAATTGCCTGATTTAGCCTTTCAACTTGGAATATGCATGTAGTTTTAGTTTAAAGAAGTGCTGTGTGACATGTTTTATGACCATTAGATGTCGCTATAATTCTACTTATGTGTACACTTAAAAATGATGTGGCAGTTGGATGAAGTTTGTGAGAGAGATGTGAGCAGTTGAAGGCATTATGCCTCTGACATGCCTTTGTGGTCAGTGACTCTAGTGAAACAGCACAAATCATACTTACTTTCTAATTATTTTATATGCACTGGTTAAGGAGCACTCTAAAGTTCATGAAGTCCATGTTAGGAAGCCTTACATTTTTTTGACAGGTGTTTTATTGAGTTATTTTAGTCACATCTGTCAGGAATTTTTTTTTTTTTTTTTTTTTTTTTTTTTTTGTGGTACGCCGGCCTCTCACTGCTGTGGCCTCTCTCGTTGTGGAGCACAGGCTCCAGACGCGCAGGCTCAGCGGCCATGGCTCACGGGCCCAGCTGCTCTGCGGCATGTGGGATCTTCCCGGACCGGGGCACGAACCCGCGTCCCCTGCATCGGCAGGCGGACTCTCAACCACTGCGCCACCAGGGAAGCCCAGGAATTCATTTTTAAATGACACATGTGGCTAAAGTGGGTTCCTGACATATCTTCCAATTTAAATATGATTTTAAATACCATGTTGTATAACCTCAGACTTGTTTACTGTGTTTAAGTCTACACTATAGGCTAGATTCAGTGTCTTTCCTTATTGTGAATACATAAGATTGATTGCTATTATTTGGAAAAACAATTTTCAATTTGGCATTTATTTCTTCAATTGCTATTATATTATTATAGCAGGTGGCACTTAACAACTGCTTGTTGTTAAGCATAAAACTATAATTAGTATAATAGACTGGTATTGATATAGGAATTGACAGATAGCTCCATGGAAAAGACTGGAAAATCAAAATCCAACTAAAAGAAAATTTCACAGTATAACAAAATTTTGACATCTCAGATAAGTGGGGGAAAGAATGAATTTGCCAGAAAACGTTGGGCCCATTACCAAAACATTTGGGAAAATCAAATTTAAATTCTTAGTCTTCATTCCAAAATAAATTCTCTATAGGTTAAATGTGATAATGTAAAAAAATTTTCTTAAATGTAGGTCAGTAGTTTCATAATCTTGGGGAGAAGGGCATGCCCTTAGAAAGGGCATGCCTTTGAAGCCAGAAGCCATAAAGCCAGGAGAAATGATAGGTTTAACCACATAGAGTTAAACGAGAAGCAGTAAACTGTGAAAAAATATTTGCAGCATATATGACAAAGAAAAAGTTATTAGCCTGACTTTATAAAGAGGTCTTATAATTAGTATAAAAAGGAGAAATAAATTCTACTGATAGAAGAAATAGCTAACATAAAAAATAGTACAGCCTTACTAGAAATGAGAGAAATGCACATGAAAATAGATACTGTTTTATGTAGTTTTCTACTCTAGTGGTTAAGAATTAGAGGCTGGAGTCAGAGTGCTTGGGTTCACAGCTTGACTCTGCCACTTACTGTCTGGGTGACCTTCAACCAGCAGTGATTATAAGACTAGCAGACGTGAAGAACAGTGGTAGTATCTGAGGGAGTGTTAGGAAATGAATGTTCTCTCGTACTATTGTTCGGAAGCTGTATTACCTCTAACTTTCTGTAGGTCAGTTTGACCAATAAGACTTTCTCAAACTTAATTTTCTGTCATATCTATTACCAAGCCAACAGAAGTGCTTCCTCAACTCTGTGACTCCCCCCAGGTTGTGATATGCCTTCTGAGGTGTTATCTCTCACCTTCTCTGTTTGGGATTCATTGATGTAGAGCTTTGTTTATTGAATGGAAATAGACTATATTGTGTGATACCATTATTATTTTAAAATGTATGTGTTTACATGTCTGTATATGTATATGGAGAAAAGATCATATGCTAAAATTATAGAAATGGTTTCTCTGGGTGGTGGCATTGCCAGTAATTAATCTTTTTCCCTTTATTCTCCACATTATCTAATTGTTCTTGCATTGATAATTTAAACTTTTTTCTACTATTTACATGTATTACTTGTAAAGTGAGGACCCAACTTTAAGGAATAAACTCCTAAATTTGGAGAAAATTGGTTTGAATGCAGGCTCCACATTTTGCTTGCTTTGTGACCTGGAAGCCATTTAGCCTCTCTGAACTTTTCCTTTGATTTCTGTAAGACGAAACGGAAATAATTAAACCTATTTCAGAGGGCTGTCAGGGGTTGAGTAAAAGAATGTATATGAAAGCATCTAGAGCAATGCATGTGAAGGCCCTCAAAAATACTTAGTTTATTTGGAAGCCATTTTGGAGAAAGCAATTGGCAAATGTTTTGAATTTGTTAAAACATCAAGTTGTTGGTTTAGTTGTTACTAATTTCAGACTTAAGTAATGAACCACTTATAAAGGTGTAAATCAAATCCCTCTTTTTGTCATTCTTGTTTTAAGGCCATAGATCTTAGATCAGCCTCAGATCCTTTTTGTGGGTTCTCCACTGGTTTCAGGGTGGTGCTTCAAACTGCTCTCCTGCCATGGCAAGCCTGCCGCCCTGCTTGAGGGTGACTTTGGTCCCTGTGGGGAGTGATCCCCTCTGCTGCATGTTCCCCTTTGTTGCCTAGAGCAGTGCAAAAAATTCTAAGTGCAAGTAGATGGTAAAAGTGATACTTGAAGTGTGTGATTTTTCTAGGGAATTTTCCCTCCCTTGGTGCCATGCCTGGTTAGGGTTTTAAGAGGTTTAAGAGAAAAATTCTAAGTCATCACTCTCTCCCTTTTTACCACTTGATCTTGCTGTAGAGCTGTCACTCTGCTATCATAGCCAATTGCCATGGGAATAATGCCAATGTAACAAATGTATCATTAGGACTTTTCTGTAAAAACCATGAAAGGAAAAGAAAGACTGTGAGGGGAGAAATTAGGGGAACAAACTGGTTTGAAGATTTCTTTTCTCACCGAGAAATTCTCTGGCCTTTTATCTACATTGCAGATCCCAACTGTATATTCTGCCTACGCTTGATGTCAGGGGAAGTTTTTGCTTGTGGATTTAGTTCTAAAATACATAAATAAAAAGATTTGCTTTGTGGAAGGAAGAAGAAGGCCTTACCTAGAATTGCTATTTGTAATTTAAAGATTTTCATCTTGTTATTAACAATTGTGGTTTTATGGACTAATTCCCCTAAGTAATAAATTTGCATGTTAAATATTTGGGGGGTTATATTTTATCTCTTTCATTTCGCTACATTCTACTGCTGCTATCTTTTGAATCTTCTCTGGTTTAGGAAAGAAACTGGGGTAGGGTAACTATTCTAAAGTCAGTTATGTTGTTTTTTTTGTTTTGTTTTGTTTTGTTTTTTGTTTTTGCGGTACGTGGGCCTCTCACTGTTGTGGCCTCTCCCGTTGCGGAGCACAGGCTCCGGAGGCGCAGGCTCAGCAGCCATGGCTCATGGGCCCAGCCGCTCCACGGCATGTGGGATCTTCCTGGACCGGGGCACGAACCCGTGTCCCCTGCATCTGCAGGCGGACTCTCAACCACTGCACCACCAGGGAAGCCCCAGTTATGTTTTATTGGAAATATTTTAAAACAAGATACAGGCGGCCAAACCATAAGTGCTCATCTGTGGGAAGAGTTTGCATCAAGCCAGATCTTGTAATAATTCCCAAACTCCCTTGTGGTTTGTTTTCATCTTATGTGTCACTCCTGTTGTCTGCCCACAACCAGAACCCAGTCTTTGTGCCTAGCACCTCTGGGTGATCTTGGATAAGCAGCTCATATTATAGGATTCCTTGGCTCCCACTTCTTTATCAGGATCATATTTGATTTGTGTTTCCTGAAGGTTTGGGTCCCTTTCCCATTCTCTTTTCGGTAGTAATATCTTGGGGCATACGTGCTTTTCTCCTTTGACAGCGTGTTAAACTGGCTGTTCACGTTAACATCATAACAGCAATGGTCTCGTACTCGATTAAGTAGGTGGTGGGACCAGGGAATTTGAGATCCCAGAGCAAGAGGGTCAGAAGGAACCTCCCAGACATGTTTCTTCCCATTTTGCCCTCCCCTCGCTGTTGTGGAAATCACAGTGTCCAGTCTATCAAAGGTCAGATTCATTTTACTATTTGTTTTCTTCAAACTAGTTTGAAATCTTCTCTGCCAGCTTGAAAACAGATGCTCAAGCAGCTATGAAATAAAAGACACAGTAGTTTGGAACTATCTGTTGGATTGTTGATCTCCTTTGGTGAAAAGTTAAAAATATAACTCAGCAGAGAGCATAGTTTTGAATGATTTGTAGATTAGGATTTTGTGAAACTTGCAAGGATGGGGTATAGTCCTGGACCAGGGGAGAGGGTGAAACTTTGTCCTTGTGGTCTCAAATTGCTGCAGAAATCACACCTGGCCCTTCATGGTTTTTTTGTTTCTGTTCTTGTTTTTGCCAATAATCTGCAGTTATTTTCACATTACAGCCTGCCCGATGATAGTCTGCCCTGATCATTAATTATCTGTACTGCAGTCAGGATGCACGTCTCAGTCTCTTTCCTCAGATGACAGTTGCTGTGCTGCGCACAGCTTTGGTACTGACTAGTACAAGCCTAGAGATTTAGAAACTATACACTAAATCCTTGTTGGTAGGCGAGTTTATTGAAATAAGTTAGTTGAGGAGTTTAAGTACATTGCACTTAATTTTTCTTGAGATTTTACATTTAAAATTGGTTTTTCTTATATTTAAAAAATTTGAAGTCATTATTTTCCTGTTCAAGATGTATATATGTGTATTTTATAATGGAAACTTTATAAAATTCTTAATTTCGTATCCAACATGTGATGTCCTAGCTTGCATTCATTTTATTAAACTTGAAAGTCAGTATTAAAATCAACCACAAATGTATTTGGAGAGTTCTTACTTGATTTCATTTGATAGTAAGACAAAGGGATGAGCTGGAGTGTATTTATTGGATTTGAGAATGCACATTCATTTCAGATTCACACGCCAAAGCACTGTGCATCTGAGTGCACTGCCGCCTGCAGCACATTTAATTTAAAATCAGGTGCCCTAGGGGACTGGCATGTGGTAGACTTCCCGAGGGTTCTTCTGGAGCCATTTTAAATAGAATTTGGGAAGCAGGAATTTAAGGGATAATGGTGGAAAGGGTAGTATGTAGATGTCTTGAAAATCGTTCGTTATTTGTTTTCATTTTAATTGGCAAGTAAATTTGCAGTCTAAATACGTGAAATCATTCAGACATTTTCAACAGAGTTCTGTAGATTTAAAAAAAACAATTATATTCTATTTCTGTTTGAGGACCACATTACTAAAGTTTAAAATCCATTTTATGTCTTTCTTTTGAATGTTCAGAGCAACTAACTCTTAATTTGTGTGTTATTCTCCAATTTGTTAAGGGTGAAAAATTTTATCAGCCTGGACCATTTGAGTTTTTAACCCATTTGTCAATCTAGTTTTCCTGAAAAAAATTCATTCATCTGAAAATAAAATCTTTACCTAGATGATCTCATTTTGAGTCTGTATTATATGTATTATGTAGATAATGGATTGATCTGTAAGTTAATTAGAACGAAGAGAACCTATATGTCAAAACAAAAATGCTTTGTCAGTTCTTTCTTTTTATCCGCTTAATTCTAAACCTGTTATTGGCGTCCTGAAGAGTCATACGATATATTGGTTTCTCAGAAGGGGTATAGAGATAAATGTCAACTGCAGTAAGTAAAATTGCAATTACAGTTAGTGTGTATTGAGCAAAGTGCTGTGTGGGCAAAGCACGATGTAAAGTTCTGTATGTAAATAGCACATCATGGATGAAACCTTGCATTGTGATTATTAAGGACAGGGGGCTTTTGCTCATTCTCCATTAGGAGGAGGATATTAGAATCACTTGCAAATTATGTAGTGTACCTTTGGGCTTGCTTCTCTTCAAAAAGGGAAACCCCAGGAGCTTTTTATATGAAGGATAGATCTCAAAATATCTTCTCTTTGAATGTTGAATTTTTTGAAGCCCCTTGATTCCAAGTGTAGAGCTCTTAGCCGTTCTTTTAAATGCTATTTTCTTGTAAAATTTCACTGTACATTAACTTACTGTTTGCCCAGGACGCATTTGTTTACAGCCCCTCTCATTGACTCCCAGCTTCTTTCTTCTGTGTCTCCCCATCCCCTACACCCTCCACGCACATCCAGGCTTATTGTGACAAGAGCTTGTAATCTGATTTTTATCAAGATTAGATCTTCATCTAATCTTGAAGATACAGTAGGACTGGAATGAGGATCTGAGACTATGGGTGATTTTATTTTCCTCTTTCAGTATTTCTATATTTTCTGTAAAGAGCACGGTAATTTAGGTTTGAGAAACTTTAAATTTGGTATTCTTAAAAGCAGCAAAAACATTTTTAATGAAATGTCATGCTAAGTTCTTTAATTTCGTTCTTCTGTGATAAATTCTAATGAGATGAGAGCTGTAAACTAGGAGACCAGTGGTAATCCTTGGCATCCTTCCTTATTCTATTTATTTGGCTTGAAGAGTTTCACTTGTCAGTTTTAGGAGGATATGTTAATTGTGTGATCAGTATTCCTTACAAATAATCTTGTCTGTTTTCTTGTCAAGATTCTGAAGGCCCTTTTGCTCTTTCTGTAAAAGCTAAGCAGACTGTATTAACTTCTGGTTTAATTTAAAAAACAAATGTGGAACTTGTTGGCGTGACGCCTTAAAGAATCGCATGTTTAATAATTGGAAGGCTTTCTATCAGGTTTGTCTCCAGTCTGAATTAATAATGTTGCTGACTTATTGTTTCAGAAGACAGAGTCCTTGACCTGTTAAGTTGAAAGAATTGTGACTGCTCTGAACCTTTGTGGGTCCTTTAGCTGTGCCATATCCCCTGTGAATAATTAGAGGTATTTGAAGGTATTGCGGTAGAAGCCAATTTGTGTCTTTCACTTTACATATTGTTGAAGCCTCATGAATTAATCATAAGCAGGCAAAAAATTAACTTCTTCAGACACATATTTTGATGGGTCATGAGGGAGAATGTAAAGTGATCTGTAAAATATTCTACTGATCCTCTGAGTATTAAATTATTATACCTACAGGCCAATTTCAGAGGGGGAAAAAGAAGTGTTTTCCTCCTTCAGTAACTGAGTAGCAAATTTGAAAAAAATAAAGACTTATTATTTCTAGGACTGTTAAGAGGACTATAAATGAGCAATTTTATGATTTCCTGAAAACCAGATTCATGTATTAATTCTTGTTTTTAATGTTTTTGGTTATTTTTCTTTTAAATCAGTTGAATTCTAGAGTCTTATAACTACAATTTATACTTCTTGTTGATTTTGTGAAATGTGAAACCAAACAAGTAACTCATCTTTCTAACTTTAGGCAACTAAAGCACTGAATCAAAGAAATGGATTTCCATACTTGTTTAAAATCTAGTTTTACATTCAATTTTTGTTTCCCATTTTCTATTTTTCTTTTTTTTTCAGCCAATGAAACTGAAATTGCATTCTTCTGTGAAGATGACTATAAGAACTACAAAGCTAATCCCCTTTCATCCTGGTGAAAACTTCACAGGGCTTCCTTTTTGCATACTTGTATTAAGCTCTTTATTCTACTGGTGAGTTTTTTAAATTGACAAATAAACTTGAAAAAATTAATCCCAAGCTCTGCCATTTGAGGTAAAATCTGCGGTGTGTTCTCTCTTCTGCAGGTCTCATTTTTTTCTTTCTTGTTGTAAAATAATATATTTATTTATGGGGAAAACATGTGATTTTTTTAAGTGAAAGAAATAGTTATTCAAAAATCACCATGGAGTTTTGGTTCTTTAGTTATAATTTGTTTTTCTGAAATTAGAGGTCATTTTGGTGACTTGCATGTTGGATTCTTTAAAAAGAGTATGAGACTTAAGGTCATTCTGTTTATTTTGTGTTTTCTCCGTAGTTTCTAATTAGACCCCGGTTACTATCTTTGGCTAGCAGGCATTGTAAGAGTCTCTTATGACCATGAATGCCATCTTTTCACTTACCATGTTACACACCACCACACATGAAATTGAATTGGGTATGTTTTAGGGAGGTTTTCTGATGTTAGAGGGCTTTTCTTTCTTTTTGTATTAAGCCCACACAAATAACATTGCTGAAATGTTTTTTTCTGAGCTGTGTTTCCTGACTTCAGGAGCAAACTATAATAGAATCAAACTCATTTATTTGGAGAGAGAAGATAGCAGGATGATTGCACTTCTGGAAGAAAATTGTTCATTGAGAACAAGTCTAAGTCATGGATGATACATTCTTTCAAAATAACATAATACTTTAATGACGGACTACCAGCACCCGAAGAGTAGTGAGTTCAAGGGGGCCTTTCAGCCAGCATGCATCTAATCGGAACTCTGAGAGAGGTTAGTTGGCTCTAGAATTATTCCATGAAGCCTTAAAACTGCTAGAAGGGCAAATTGGTTTCATTGTGGTATAGGCTAATTTAAGAAAACCTATTCTGCTTAAAAAATCAAACTTGAAAGTCTGGTTACCATAACCAGAAGATGTGTTGCTTTGTTTAAAGACAAAGCACTTGGAGTAGAGGAAGATAAGGGCAGAAGGTCTGTTGAGCTAGGCCTTATAAGCTATGCTGAGGAGTTGGAAATTTTATCTAGTAGGTAGTTGGGAGCCAGTGAAATGATTTAAACAGATAAATTACATGATTAGATTTGTATTTTAGAACGTAAGCTTTGGCAGCAATGTCCAGATGGCAGAAAGACTAGAGGTCAGTTGTCATAGACCAGAGGAAGATTGGAAGGACTCCCCTAGGACTTGACAGAGGGGAGGAATGGAGAAGAGGAGACCTTGTTGACATAGTGCTAACATTGGTTATGCATTAGATGGCAGGCATTGTGTTAGGTACCTACATGTGTTATTTAATTTTTACCACAACTCTCTAGTCTTGATAGTATCTTATCTATCTATGGCTGAGGAAATTGGGGCCCAGAGAGGTACAGTAACTTACCCAAGGCAATGCAGTAATTTGCACTGGGAGTGGAGCCAGGTCTTTCTTAAATTCCTGACCTTGCACATTTCATACTGTGGCCTCCCAGGAGAGGTATGAGGTAGGATCTTTGGGACTAGGTGAATGGCTGGTGTGGAAGGTGTAGGAGGAGGAGTGGAGACTTCACTGATTCTTCCTGGAGCGAGTGACTGGATCGATGGTGACAGCATCAACCCAAATAGGGAATTTAGTAAGTAGAAGAACAGGTTAAAGCATACTCCATTTGATTATTTTGCAGACATTCAATTTACACACACTTTGTTTCTTTTATAAGAAAAATTAAGCATACCTTTACCTGTATGTTTTCTTTTTAACAAATAATGCAAAAATATGTACATATGTCTAATCCTTTGTTTTGGTGTGTATTTATTTTCCTTATTAGAAAGTTACATATAGGCTTTTTTCACTTGTAAACACAGATGTAAAAATCAGAAACTAAAATACATTACGACTAAAAAGGGCTTTTAACCAAGAGTGAAAGATTGGTTCAAAACATAGAAAACTTATCAATGTACATAATTCTCAAAATATATAAAGAAGGGCTTCCCTGGTGGCTCAGTGGTTGAGAGTCCGCCTGCCGATGCAGGGGACACAGGTTCGTGCCCCGGTCCGGGAAGATCCCACATGCCGTGGAGCGGCTGGGCCTGTGAGCCGTGGCCAAAAAAAAAAAAAAAAAAAAAATATATATATATATATATATATATATATATAAAGAAGAAAGAAATTGTGCTATCTCAGTGTTGCCCCAAAGAAGCATCTGATGATGGGCAACCCCATGAGTGAATAGAAATAGAATAGAACAGAATCCCCTTAACCTGATGAAGGTTACCCACAGAAAACCTACTAATGGAGAAGTGCTTAAGCAAACCTATTAGATGAATAGGACAGGGAGGACACTATTACCAGTGCTATTCATAATTGTTCTGCCTCTTATTGTAGCCAGTGCAATAAGAAAAGAAAAGTAGTGAGAACCACAGACATTGGAAAGGAGACTACACATTCATTTACAGACAATATGATTGCAAGAGAATCAACTGACAAGTTATAAGAACTAATAAGAGACTTTATGAGTACCTGATAATGAACTTAAATTGTGCACAAAGGCTATAAAATGTTAACTAGAGTATACAGAAGATGTAAATAGAGAGATACTACATCTTTATAGATGGAAGTTTTGATGTAGTAAAGATGTTGATTTATACCTAATCTGTACTTCAGTGCAACCTCAATCAAAATCCCAGGATTTATATTGGGATTTGACAAACTGATTTTAAGGTTCATTTGGAAAAGCAAATGTATAACAATAGCCAGGATCAATTTGGAAAAACAAAAAGGAGGGGGGATTGCCAGCAGATGTCAAAATATATTTTAAAGCTGTAGTAATTAAAACATCTTGGGGCTTCCCTGGTGGCGCAGTGGTTGAGAGTCCGCCTGCCGATGCAGGGGACACGGGTTCGTGCCCCGGTCCGGGAAGATCCCACATGCCGTGGAGCGGCTGGGACCATGAGCCATGGCCGCTGAGCCTGCGCGTCCGGAGCCTGTGCTCCGCAGCGGGAGAGGCCACAACAGTGAGAGGGCCGTGTACCGCAAAAAAAAAAAAAAAAAGTAAAACATCTTGGTTGTGATACAGAAGTAGACCAAAAAATCAATGAATAGAAACTGACTGCTGTATATGGAAACTTAGTATATAATAAACGTAGTATTTGTAATCAGTGAAGAAAGATGGATATTTATCCCTTGCCTAGACATTAAAAAAATGATTAAGAACCCTACCTCCTACCATTCACTAAAATTTCAGATGTATTAAATAAGCATGAAAAACAAGATGATGAATTTATTAGAAAAAAATGGATTATTTTTATGACCTTGGGGGTAGAGATGGCCTTCTTAAAACACAAAATGTGCAAGGGCCATAATTTGCTGAGTTTGATGCATCTATATGAGAAACTAGATTCCCCCTCCCCCCAGAAAAATTATAAATGAGTTGAAAGGCTAGTAAAGACTGGGAAAAACTACTTGCACTTACAAGATAGACAGAGGATTAGTTTCCAGAATATATGAATATATGACTTGTAAAATACAAGTCAATGAGAAAAGGACGAACCTGCAACAGAAAAATGGACACATTTTGTAAAGAAGAAATTTGTAAAAATAAAGGAAAGATATATGGCCTATAAAGATGTGAAAAGATGCACATCCTGTTATTCAAGGAAATTAAAACAACAACAGTATCATTTCTATTCATCAAGATGGCAAAAAGTAAAGGGTTTGATAACAAGTATTGGCAGTGATGTGTGCCTACGCTGCCAGTGGGAGTATAAAGTCATGTGCAGTCACTTGGTCAAGCAATTTGATGTGCTATCTATTGAAATAACAAATGTACGTCTTCTATTGACCCTGCAGTTCCACTTCTTAAAATTTGTCCCAAAGAAACCCTCTCATGCCTGCAGGAGGAGGCATTTATAAGGGAATTCACTGCAGTGTTATTTATAGTAGAAAAACACTGTAAACAACCTAAATGCTGTGAGTATCTAAATGACGTTTGGTATATCTATACTCTGGGTTACTACTTAATCTAAAACAATGGGGGACATTCATATTACTTACTGACATGGGACAATCTTTGAGACATCTTGATGGATAAAACTGCAGAGAGACTCATAAACTGATATCGTTTGTTTAAAAAAGGCAGAAAATGATAATATATATATAATGTGTATATATAATACGTGTGTGTATATGAATATACACATTGTATACACATATATACATATACACAAAAGAATATACACCAAATTGATAACATCGATTACCTCTGGGGAGGGGCCTAGAATTGGGAGGTGAAGGTGGTAAAAGCCTGTATCTGTATATTTAAGGAGAATGTATTTGTGTTAAGAATTAGTAAAAACTAATGCATGTGTAGAAATTAAAAGAAGCAGGAAAAAAATCGATCAGGCAATTTCCATTAATATTTCGGCATATTCCATCTAGGTTATTTTTTTCTATGTATTTTTTTAATGTTTCTGATCTTTTGAGTGTATTTTAAGTTATACAAGTAATATATGCTTGTTGAAAACAACTCAGGTAAAAAGTAAAAATCCCCTTCAAAGGTCACTTTTTTGCATAACTTCGTTTTTATACTTTAGGAGCTTTTTTTCTGCACACATATCATTATTTAAATGTGCATTTTAAAGCTTTATCATTTGATTATTTTAAAATATCATTCTCTTATATATAGAAGTCTCATTTTCTTTTTGAATCATCACTGTATACCAGATACTGCATGTGTTTTATCCATTATTCAAGTCCTCGAGTTGGGTAGAGCTGTGAGTAGCCCCATCTGTGAAGTGGAGATGATGATGCACCTCACAGAGTCTTGGGGATCAAGTGAGACACTGCCTACATGGGACTTGGTAGGCAGGGCCTGGCATGAGGTAAGTGCTCATCAGATGTCTTATGATACTCATTATGAGCAGTGCAGCATCATCAACTTCAATTTGGAGCCAAAAACCCTGATGCTCTCAGATATTAAGCCACTTGCCCAAGGCCTAAAATCTGGAAAGTCAAAGAACGTTCTGCCACTCACTGAAAACAAGAGGTGTCGGGCACTTGGAGAAACATGGTATGAAGGTTGTCAACCACGGGCCAAGAGACTGTGTCCAATTTTTGTTGATTGTCACCCCTTCTCCAAGCATTTTTGCCGTTCTCAGTTGAACTTACTTTCTCTTCTTTTGCCAAAGGAACATACAGGCCCTAGC